GTTTCGACCCATTAATAAATAATTGCATGAGGCCAATTTTCACGAATTCGTGATCTATCACCCGCACGATTATTGGCCATTTTTAGTCATTTCAATCCTTGGCATATTTCATTAGCTATAAAACATGATTTTTAGTTATTTTTAGTTGTTTCGATCCATTAGCAAATTATTTTTTAGGGACCTAAATTCAATATTTGAAGGCTATAACCCATAATTTTTTGCCAATTATTGTCGTTTCGACCCATTAACAACTAATTTCACGGTGGCCAAAATTAAAGATTTAATGAGTTATTACCCATGATTTTTAGCCATTTTTAATTATTTTAAACCAATTGACATATTGCGGTGGTAAAATTTTACAATTTCAAGAGTTATAACACATGATTTTTGGTAATTTTGGTCATTTCGACCATTGGCAAACAATTTAGCGGGGCTAAAATTCATGACATAAGCCATGATTTTAAGTCATTTTTAGTCATTTCGATCCATTGACAAATAATTTTATAAAGGCTAAAATTCACAATTTTATGAAATATAACCCACGATTTTTAGCCATTTTTTATCGTTTCCATAATGTGGCTAATAATTGTACGAGGCTAAAAGAAAGGAATTCACGAGCAACATCTTTAATCATTCCAGGTGGCAAATAATTACACGGCTGGGAAAATTTCACATTTTAGTGAACTAAAAGTCATGATTTTTGGCTATTTTTACTCATTTTAACCCGATGGTAAATAATTTCACGGATGATTCATGATTTCATGAGCTATAACCCATGATTTTTGGACATTTATGGTTGTTTCGATGCATTTGCAAACAAATTCGTAGAGGCTAAAATTAAAGATTCAATGAGCTATTACTCATGCGTTTTGCCCATTTTTAGTCGCTTTGACCTGTTGGCAAATAAATTTATAGAAGCCAAAATTCACAATTTCATGAGATACAACTCAAGATTTTTGTCATGTTTAGCCATTTCGATCATTTAGAAAATAATTTCGCAGTAGGAAAATTGACTATTTTTTGAGCTAGAACCCACGATTTTTTACCATATTTATTCATTTCAAATCATTGATAATAATTTTGTGTAGGCTAAAATTCACGATTTCAAGAGCAATAACCCCTTTATTTGAACATTTAGTTGTTTCTAGCCATTGGCAAATTCTACGTGATCCCAAAGTTTACAATGTCATGTTCTATAACCCATGATTTTTTTTATCATTTTTAGTTGTTTCGACTCATTGGCAAATAATATCATAGAAGCAAAACTTTATGATTTTATGAGCTCAAACTCATGATTTTAGCCGTTCTTAATCGCTTCGATTATTTGGTAAATAATTTTGTAGAGGCAAAAATTCATGATTTCATGACTTAAAACCTATGATTTTTGTCCATTTTTAATTATTTAAACACGTTCACAAATAATTTTGTGAAGCCAAAACTCATGATTACTTGAGCTATAACCTATGATATTCAATCATCTTTTGTTATTTCAACCAGATGGAAAATAATTTTGTGGATGATAAAATTAAAATTTTCATGAGTATAACCCACAAATTTTAGCCATCTTTAGTAGTCTCCACACATCAACAAGTATAATTCTATAGAAGCCAAAATTCATGATTTCGTAAATTATAACTCATAATTTTTTGCCATTTTTAATTTTTCGATCAATTAGTAAATAATTATACGGAGGCCAAAATTAATGCTTTTGAGCTATAATTCACGATTTTTTGCCATTTATAGTTATTTTAATCTGTTGACAAATAATTTTGTCAATGCCAAAACTAAAGATTTTATTTGCTGTGACCCACAACTTATGGCCATTTTTTATGGGTTCAACCCATTGGCAAATAATTCTACGATAATCATATTTCATGAGCTATAACCCATGGATTTTAGCCATTTTTTTATCATTTCAATCCATTAAATAATTTCGTAGAATCTAAATTTACGATTTCATGAGTTATAATCCAAAATTTCTAGTCATTTTTAGTCATTTCAAACCATTGGCAAATTATTTCACAGTTTGGCCAAAATTTACAATTTACGAGCTAAAACCTATGATTTTTTCCATTTTTAGTCGTTTTGACCTGTTGACAAATAATTTTGATGGTGACAAAACTCAAGATTTCATCGGCTATAACCAATAATTTTATACCATTTTTTGTTGTTTCAAACTATTGACAAATTACTTCATGGATGCCAAAATTCAAAATTTCATGAGCTATAACCCAAAAATTTTTTGTCATTTTTAGTCATTTTGACTTATTGGCAAATAATTTTGCAGAAACTAAAATTATGATTTCATAAACTATAACCCATCATTATAGTCATTTTTGTTCCTTCAACATATTAGCAAGTAATTTCGTCGAGAGTTTTTGTGATGAGGATGAAGGCCAAACTTCCTTTTCCTTTATGGTTGGGAAGGGGTCTTTCCTTGAACCCTTACCTCAAAGGACTTATGGTTGAGTTCTTGAGGAAGGAGATGTGGCCAAGAGAGTTGATCTTCAACATATTAGCAAGTAATTCTATGGAGACCAAAATTCATGATTTTATGAGTTATAACACATAATTTTTTGCCATTGTCGTCAGCAAATTGACAAAAAAAAATTAGGGACTCCAAAATTCCCCATTTCATGATCGATAACCTACAATATTTGGCCATTTTACATCGTTTCTATCCATTTGCAAATAATTTTTTGTGGCCATATTCACTATTTTATGATCAAGAACCCACTATTTTTGGCCATTTTTAGCCATTTTGATTCAATGGCAAATAATTTCACAGAGGTTCAATTCACGATTTCATGAGCTATAACCCATAATTTTTTGCCATTTGTAGTCATTTCAACCTGTCGGTGAATACTTTCAATGAGGCTTAAATTAAAGATTTTATGAGTTATTACCTACGATTTTAACTATTTTTACTGATTTTGACCCGTTGGCAAAATTTTCATATGGAAGCTGTAATTTACGATTCCGAGAGCTATAACCCATGATTTCTGACAATTTTTATTTACTTTGACATGTTTGCAAGTAATTTTGCATATGTAAAAATTCAGAATGTAATGAGATATAAACTATGATTTTTGGCCTTTTTGTCGTTTTGACTCATTAGCAAATAATTTCACAGAGGCTAAAATTCATGATTTCTTGAGCTTACCCACGATTTATGACCATTTATCAGTCGCTTTAAGCCATTGGCAAATAATTTCACAAAGGCTAAAATTAAATATCTAATACGCTATTTCCTACAATGTTTAGCCATTTTCAATCATTTCAACCCATTGGCATGTAATTTTGCGATGGCCAAAATTTACAGTTTTGTGGTTAACCCACAATTTTTGGCCATATTTATTCATTTTTACTTATTGGCAAATAATTTAATGTGGGCCAAAAATCATAATTTTATGAGATATAACACACAACTTTTACCATTTTTAGTCTTTTTTATGAATTGTCAAAGTTGTTAACTCGGTGATATGCATAACAAAATTATCATTCATTCAAAACGAATAAAGCTTGACAAAAAACGTAGATATAGCTCATGATAATTGTGAATTTTTATGTACGCATACTAAATTTCTGTTTCCCTTCAAAACAAACTAAAATTTAAAAAATGATGGGTTATAACTCATGAGATCTATAAATTTTGATGTACACATATTAAATTTGCATTAATTCAAAGCGAAAAATAATTGTCAACATTCATGAGTTACAGCTCATGCAAATTTTAAATGTTAATGTACATATAATAAATTTGTACTTGTTCAAACTAGAAAAAAAAAAGGGAACAAAAGTCATGGGTTGTAGCTCATGAAAATTTTTGATATATACATAATAAATTTGCATTCATTGAAAACGAACAAAAATTGTAAACATCATGGGTCGTATATTATGAAAATTTTTGACAATATAATAAATTATAAATAATGTAATATATTATATTATAACAAATATTAATTTAATATAATACATTATATCATCATATATAATATACTATATTTTTACAATATAATATAATATTATGTTATGTCTACCATAATATATATGCAGTAAATTTATTAATACTATTTAATATAATATATTATATATATAATATGAGAAAAACTTATGTTAACTTAAGTGGATGGTCCACCAAAGTTTCTATTCACTCATGTTGCCTAGAGATCCTTGCATAATATGAATGGACTTTTTATATCATATTTTTTTGAATTATAATAATATTTATTACCATAATATAGTAATATTTTTAATATATTATATTATTATATATTATTTTATATATTTATGAAATAATTAGCATGTATTAGTTATTTATAAGACAGCTTTAACTTATCTCATTTGCCTTAAAAGTGGAACATTATTCTTCCAATATGGCGAATGGGGCTAACTTTGGACACGGGGGTAAATTTTTTGTATATGAATAGAACAATTTTATTTTTAGTGGGGAAATTTGTCTCACAAATGTTCTAACAAACCAATAACACCAAAATATAATGTCCCAATTCCATTACCCCTAACCAATAACAACATAAATTAAAGTCCTACAATTATCCTCAGTGAATAACATCAAAAAGTAATGTCCCAAAAAATATTCCCATCATCCCTAAAATTACACCAATGAAAAAGCCCCCATAAAGGTTTAGGTTTCCCTTGTTATCTGAAGGTAATGGTCAATCTTTGACATATATAGTTCAAGTTGTGCGAGTATTAGTATCTTACTATTGGAGTTAGGCATGTTAACATTGTCACATATTAGCCCAGACTTTTGCATATCTAACAAAGAGCCGCTGTGGCTTTTTTTTTTTTGAACAAAAATGGTAATACTGTTCCTCCATTCTAACTTTCTTGCATTTCTGATGTTCGGATAAAACTTAAATTGTAGCGCCTATAGAACTCCAGTGCCAAAGATTAGTATCAAATCGTTCACATCGTATGATTGGCTAAAACAAAAAATGCACTTTGTATCAAAATAGGAGGAAGAACAAAACAGTTGATGACATCAACCTGAATTCAGGTTGAACTTATTGAGTGAACTTATTGAGTAGAAACATAAAAATACAAGGACTGAGGTTCGGTTCATGACCATCTGTTTTGACTAGAAAAAATTACAATTCGTGATATTGAAAAACCACTGAAACCTATAAACATCTTATGACAAAACGTATTTAGCATCTTATGCAGAGTATGGGGGTACACATGAAAAATAATTGATACTAATATACAATAAAAATTATGTTTCTCAATGACCGCTGCATTGATATCTTCTTATAAGAATAATTACTCGAAACTCCAGAAGTTGGTAGAATCGCAACTTGTACCTTAATTTTTCAGGTAATATTGATTGTGAATGAAACATAAGGATAAGCCTCTGTTTCACCTCCTAAACCAGCAATGTTTGCGTCTTCTTCGGATTTCCAGTAAGTGCTGAAAACAAAATAAAACTCCAGTCAGCAGAAAGCCTACAAAGAAAACACGCTGAAAGTGTGAAGATCATTTGCTATTATTCCAAAGACTAAAAGCTAAACAGCTCATTACCCGTTGGAATTTCCACAAATCTGTTCCAGGATGCTGCGAACTTTCTTCTCACTTTTTGTTGGTGGTGCTAATACTGCAGACTGAAATTCATTCAAAGAGACATGAATATTAATGTTACCATGTCTAGCAAATTTTGTAGCCAGAGTACGTTCTCAAGAAACATTAAAGTACCAAAAATGATGGTGGTAGACCATATCGAAGGATGCTCTCCACAAAAACACGAACAGCACAAAAGTGCATCCAGGAACTGAAAACCTGCAAGTCAAAAGGAAAACTTAAATAAGGGGACATGCCAAGTTGCTTGCACGGACAGACAACTTTTGAAGTGCTTGACCTTTTTCCTATAGAGGTATGGAAACAGGTAGATCTAAGGGGCTGTTTGGTTGTATGTTTTTACCATGTAAAAGGATGTAAAGTGTAAAAAAGTGGGTCCCAATGTCAGCTTTCATCACTTTCAATTGTTTGTTTGTAGTTGTGAAAATAGTGTAAAGTGATTTCATATGCTGATGTGGCTTGTAAAGTGATTTCATGAAAAAAAAACATGGTAAAAAGATACACAACTTTCCAAGTTGTGTCATAAATACACAACTTTACCAACAACAACCAAACAGCCCCTCAGTGAAAAGATTGGATTATTTCTTTTTTTTCTTTTTTTCTTTTTTTTTCCTTTTCATTTTTGCATAATGTGCACTTTTGCAGGCAGATACAACTAATCTAGTTGAGGAGTAAATTTAACACGTCTCCTACCTGTTATGTATGAGTTGTGTGTGTTTCTTGCCAAAAGAGGTTGACATCATTTTTCACGCTTCGAAACATGAAAATTAGAAACCTCCAGGGAAGTATGCCGAAAGGGACTAGATTCCTTGCTCTGTTGACCATGCAAGCGTCACTGTTGAAACTATGTTGATGTTATACGAGTTTGGTGTTAAAGGGAGCTCAATTTGTTGACCGAAATGGATTATTCCCCTTCGACTGGATGTTACGCCCTGATTGTTACAACTTATGGAAATTGCAAATTTTGATACACATATTTAATTTATATTCATTCAAAACGAATTAAAATTGACAAAATTGATGAGTTATAGAACATGAAAATCGCAAATTTCGATATCCACGTAATAAATTTATATTCCACTGAAACGAACGAAAATTAACAGTAATCTTAGATTATAACTTATGAAAATCTAGAATTTTTATGCACACACAATTAATTTAGTTTTGTCTGAAACAAACAAAAATCGACAAAAACCATGGGTTAGCCCATGAAAATCACGAATTTCGATGTACACAATCAATTTATATTTGTTTGAAAAAAACGAAAAACTGACAGAAGTCGTCGGTTATAGCCCTTGAAATCGCAAATTTGGATGTACAAAATAAGTTATGTTCCATTAAAACAAACCAAATTTGTCAAAAATCATGGGTTATAAACAATGAAAATAGACAATTCTTTATGTACGCATAATAAACTTACTTTCATACAAACTTCACACAAATTTACAAATAGTGTCCTAGCTCATGAAATCTCGAATTTTTAGCTGCTCACATTTAATTGTCATTAGGTTGAAATGGTTTAAAATTAATAAAAACCATGGGTTATAACTCAAGGAAAGTCGTGCATTTTGATGTACACATTTAATTTATATTCGTTCAAAACAAACGAAAATTGACAAAAAAAACATGGATTATATCCCATCAAAATCAAAAAATTTAATACACGCATAATAATTTACATTCATTCACAATGAATCAAATGAATCAAAATTGACAAAAATCGTGGATTATAGCTCATGCAAATCAAGATTATGACGTACACAATTAATTTACATTTGTTTGAAACGAATCCAAATTGATGAAAAATCGTGGATAATATAATATAGCTAATGAAAATCTAGAATTTTGATGTACATAATTAATTTACATTTGTTCGAAATGAACAGGACAAAAATCGCAGATTATAGCCAATGAAAATGACAAATTTTAAATTACACATTTACTTTCATTCAAAACACAAATTAACAAAAATTGCATGTTTTAGCTCATGAAATCTCGAAGCTCGAACTGCTCATATAAGACTGTCAATTGCTCGAAATGATTGAAAATATGATAAAAATCATGTGTAATAACTCAAAAATAGTGAATTTTGATGTACACAATTTATATTCATCGGAAACAAACAAAAATTGACAAATTTCATGGGTTGTCTAACCCATGAAATTCACAAATTTGAATGTACATATAATATTTTATATTCGTTCAAGATGAATCAAAATAAACAAAAATTAAAGGTTACAGCTCAAGAAAATCTAGAATTTTGATGTACACAATTGAGTTACATTCGTTCAAAACGAATCAAAATTGACATAAATGAAGGCATAGAGCTCATGAAAATCTAGAATTTGATGTACATGCAATTAATTTACATTCAATAAAAATGCTCAAAATTGACAAAATCCGGGAATATAGCCCTTGAAAATCACAAATTTTAATATACAGAACAAACTTACAATCGCTAGAAATGAAAGAAAAATGACAAATTATAGGTTATGGCACATGCAAATTGCGACTTTGGATGTATACATAATAAATTTACATTCACTCGAAACAAATGAAAACTGACAAAGATCGCAAGTTACAACCCATGAAAATTATAAATTTTGATGTACAAATAATAAACTTATTTTTGTTCAAAATGCACAAAAATAAATATAGCTCATGAAATCTCGAATTTTGAACAAGTCATATTTAATTATTATTTGCTCAAAATGATAGAACTTGATTTTAAAACATGAATAATAACTCATGGAACTTGTGGAATAATGATATACACAAATTTAAATTATATTCATCGGAAATAAACAAAAATTAACAATTTCATGGATTATATAGCCCATTTAAAGTCAAAATTTTCGATGTACGCCTAATCATTTACATTTATTCGAAACGAATCAATTGACAAAAATCGTAAATTACAGCTCATGAAAATTTAGAACTGCGATGTAACACAACTAATTTACATTCGTTCAAAATGAACAAAATTTGATAAAAATCATGGATTATAGACCATGAAAATCGCGAATGTTAATATGCACAATTAATTTAGATTTACTCAAAAAATAAAAAATTGACAAAATTTATGAGTTATAGCACTTAAAAATCGCCAATTTTGATGTACCAAAAATAAATGTTGTACTTTCCTTGAAAACAAACCAAATTTGAGAAAAATCGTGGATTATAACCAATAAAATCGCAAATTTTCATGTACAGATGAAAATTGTGAATTAATATTTGTTCGAGACGAATGAATATTGAAAAAATTCATGAATTATTGTTTATGAAAATCACAAATTTTAACATACACATAATTTACAGTCATTCGAAATGAATCAAAATTGACAAAAATTATGGATTATCGCTAACAAAAATCTAGAATTTTAACGTACAATTAATTTACTTTTGTTAGAAACAATTCAAATTGTACAAAAATCGTGGCTTACAAACTTAACGCAAATCTAGAATTTTGATGTACACACAATTAATTTACATTTTTTAGAAACGAATGAAAATTGACAAAATCATGGTTTATAGCTTAATGAAAGCCTAGAATTTTGATGTAAACACAATTGATTTACATTCGTTAGAAACGAATCAAATTTGACAAAATCGTTGGTCATAGCTCATAAAATCTGAAATCTCAATGTACGCACAATTTCGTTCAAAACAAACAAAATTATCAAATATATTGTAGCCTACGAGAATCATGAATTTTTACGTACACAATTAATTTACATTTGCTCGAAACAAATGAAAATTGACAAAATTCTAGGTGGTAGCTCTTGAAAATTGTGAATTTCAGTATACACAACTATATTACATTCGTCCGAAACAAACAAAAATTAACAAAAAATGTGGGTTATAATAACAGAGATTGCAAGTTATAACCATTGAAAATCATAAATTTTTATGTCCAAAAAATAAATTTACATTCCTTCAAAACGAGCAAAATTTGACAAAAATTGTGGGTTATTACTAATAAAAATCACAAATTTTAATGTAAACGTAATAAACTTACTTTCATTCGAAACACGCACAAATTAACAAAAAAAATGTGCGTTGTAGCTCATGAAATCTTAAAGTTTGAACTACTCATATTTAATTGTTATTTGCTCAAAAAGATCAAAATTAATAAAAATTGTGAGTTATAACTTATAGAAGCTACAAATTTTGACGTACACAATAAATTTACATTCGATCGAAATGAATGCAAATCAAAAACAATTCATAGCTAGCCCATGAAAATCGCAAAGTCTAATCTAAACATAATAATTTACATTCGTTCAAAACAAATCAAAACTGACTAAAATCATAGATTACAGCTCATGAAAATCTAGAATTTTAATGCACAAAATTGAATTACATTCATTTGAAACAAATAAAAATCAAGAAAAATTATGGGTTATAACCCATAAAAATCGTGAATTGATGTACGCGTAGTTATTTCATATTCGTTCAAAATGAATGAAAATTAATAATAAAAGTCATGGGTTATAGCCCCATGAAAATTGCAATTTCAATATACACACAATTACTTTACATTCATCCAAAACAACTGAATATTGAAAAAAAACTCATGCGCTATTTAACCTTCGAAAATTACAAATTTTGATTTACAGAATAAGTTAGATTCTTTAGAAATGTCAAAATTTTGTCAAATATTGTGGATAATACCTCATGAAAATTGTGAATTTTGATGTACACATAATATTTATATTTATCAAGCCAAATTAAAATTGGCAAAAATCATGGGTTATTAGGTAATGAAAATAGCAAATTTTGGCGTACATATAACTTACTTTCATTCAAAATAATAAATTAACATAAATTATGATTTACATCTCATGAAATCTTGAATTTTGAACTACTGATAATTAATTGTCGGTCGAAATGATCAAAGATTGCTAAAAATTGTGGTTATAACTCATAAAAATTGCGAATTTCGACGTACACATTTAATTTATATTCATTCAAAGCGAATGAAAATTAACAAAAATTCATGGCTGCCCATGAACCTTGCAACTTTTGATGTACACAATAATTTACATCGTTTGCAATGAATCAAAATTAACAAATATCTTAGCTTAGCCTAGCCCATGAAAATCTAGAATTTTGACGTACAAACTACTAATTTATATTTGTTCAAAACAAAAAAAAATTGTGGGTTACAACCCATGAAAAATTGCGAATTTCAATGTATACACAATTAATTTACATTCATTCGAAACAAACAAAATAAACAAAAACCTTGGATTATAGCCCTTGAAAATCGTAAATTTCAAAGCACACAATAAATTTTGATTCCTTCAAAACGAATAAAATTTGACAAAATCGTGAGTGATAGCAAATAAGAATCGTAAATTTCAATGTATATATAATGAATTTAATTTCACTCGAAACGCACACAAATTAACAAAAGTTGTGCGTTATAGCTTATGAACGAACAAATTTTGATAAAATTCAGCTATCGCTCATGAAAATCGCAAATTTTAATGTATACATTATAATTTATATTTTTTCAAATAAATTATTACTTAAAAAATCATGGATTATAGGTCATGTAAATCTAGAATTTATTTGAAACGAATAAATTTACATCAATTTGAAACGAATCAAAATTGATAAAAAATCATATATTACAGCTCATACAAAGCTAGAATTTTGACATGCACACAATTAACTTACATTCATTCTAAACGAACAAAAACTAACAAAATTTGTGGAACATAACCCTTAAATATTGCAAATTTTGATGTACAAACAGTAAATTTACATTCGTTGGAAACAGAAAAAAATTGACAACAATTGAGTTGTATACCTCCTGAAAATCATAAACTTCAATGTACACATAATAAATTTACATTTGTTCCTAAAGGACAAAACTTGATATTGAGTTATAATCCATGAAATCACAAATGTTTTATGTAAAGATAATAAGTATACTTTTGTTTGAAACAAACACAACTTAACAAAAAATATGCGTTATAGCTCATTAAATCTTGAATTTTGAACTAATTGTATTTATTTGTAATTTGGTCGAAATTATTGAAGACTGATAAAAATTATAAGCTAGAGTTCATGAAAATCTAAAATTTGATGTACACGAAACAAATGAAATTGACAAAAATAATGGGTTATAGCTTTTGAAAAGTGCAAATTTTAATGTACACATAATAATTTTTGATAAACACGATCTTCTTTATGAGGATCTAAGTTATCAGAGAGGGATCACCTCATTGACAAGTGAAAACCGAGCTTTGAGAGCTGGATAACCAACTCTGGGTGCTAACACAAGATTGAAATCAAGTGATAAAGGCTAGAACTCTTGGATGACGACCTTGGTGAGGTTTAACTCAGCAATCGGGCGGGAGAGCTTTATGAGTCTTTAAGAACCTAAGAGCTAACTATCGAAAAGTTGAAGGAGACCTCTATTTATAGGCTAGGATCCCTTCCTAGAGCAAGGCTAGCTCCAATCGTACGAGTAGCAAATGCTTGCACAGTACCGTTATTTTTGTAGCAAAGCTGCTAGAATCATATTGCGTTTAATGCTGATCTGACAATTTTATGGTGTGAGGTTGCTTCGTCATCGTGGATGGATAATGGATATACTTGTCAGATCAGCATTAAACGCAATATGATGCTAGCAGCTTTATCAACCTCGTGCCATAAAATTGTGGACGTGCGAGGCTACAAAAGAGCAGTCCTGGTCTTGGTCTTTAGAAGCTGTGGGCGCGAGGTTTTAGTTGTGCGCAACTCAAGAGAGCCATCCTCTTTGAATCTTCAACATTTAATGCAATGGATATGTCATTGTGGCATTGTAAGAAGTAATGATGATGCCTACATGTCACATCATCTAACCCCCAATTGGTGTAAAGTTGCACTCTCCTGAACTGCGCGACGTCAATATTAACCGCATGCTAGGCTCAACTGCGTGCCACTATCAACCGCGATCAAGCATTCAACTATATGCTATGATCAACCACACGCCAACATCAACTACACATCACCAACAACTACGTGCCACTTTTGATTGTGCGCCAGCTTTAACAATGCACCAGCATGTTTCTAAGCGTAGTTAAGGCTGATTTACAACATGTTATGACTTAGAATTTTGTGATCTTCTATCCTTTGCTAAATGGGGACTCTCATGTGAATGATGAGCCCATTACTCATGTCAAATGACCAAAGTGCCCTTAGGTGGGCCCATATTGTATTGGGTTGATTTTAATTGATGGTTTGCATTTTTTACTATCTATCATTGTTTTAAATATCGGCCGATAATCGATATTATCAGCTGATAATCGATATTATCAGCTGATAATCGATATTATCGACCGAGTTATCAGATTTGGGAGCTCTCCGCTAGGATAAGTTGGTTTTGTAATCGGTTATCGTTTTGGAGAGTTTATCGACGAGTTATCGGCGTTATCGGCACTTATCGGCCAATAAGGTTTAAATTATCGAGATTATCGACCGGACATTTTGAGTTAGAATGTTGAGTTTTAAACCCGACCCGACCCGTTTTGTTAATAAAATGAAACTTAAAACCCGAAACTTCGTGAATCCAACCTTCAAACCCTAAACTTCGTCTCTGACGGCTGCTCCTTTTCTCATAGAGCTCTTCCTCTTCCTCCGTTATCTCCATCTCATGTTCTCTACCGCCTCTTCGTCGCTCGCATTCGTGAACTTCAAACCTTGAACTTCGTCGCTCGCCTTGCCTTCGTGAATCTCTGTGAACTTCGCTCGCCTCGTCTTCGAACTCCAGCGGGATTTACTTGAACATGTATCATTTCTTCGCGTCTTCGAACTGTTTCTATTTTTTTAAGTTGATTTTTGTTATTCTTTGAACAAATATTATCTACTTGTGAGACTTGTTGTGAAGAATCTCCGTTAATTATCTACTCCGTGAAAAATCTCCAGCGGGGTTTACTTGATTTTTTTTTGTTGAGTTTTTAACTTCTGTTTTTAATCTTTTCTATAAGAATTTCTGTGAAGTTTTAGGATTTCCCCATAAGTTAAAAAGATTTTTGTCCGGAAACATGGCTATATATACACATGCTGTGAGCTTTCCTTCTCTTGTAATTCCTTCACAGTTCATGCACGCACTTAGATCTCAAGTCAGTGACCTGAAAGAAGAAATTGTTGAATAATTTACATTTTTGTATGTTTATATTTCATTAAGCATGGTTAGATTTCATTTTTTAGTTATTATATTATATATATACATCATTTAGTATATCACTCCGATAAATACTACTTATCCCCGATATATCCCCGATTTTCGCTATCCAATAAGGTTTTGGCCGTCCGATAAATCCTCGATAACCGATATTTAAAACCTTGCTATCTATACTATAGTGTATGTGCCAAAAGCCAGAAAGGGCTTCCTTGTGAAGCAGTGCCACAAAAGTACAGCAGTTGTGTGCCACAGGATGCTCATCTCAAATAATCACATATCAACCTAATTGGTTATCAAACATTTTGCCAATGCAGCTCATATTCTCATTAGCAAACTGCTATTGTTTATGTAAAAAATGGGGGAAATATATTTACTTATTGCTTTCAAATTCGAAAAAAAAATGATTATAAACAGTATGATGAAGAATGGTTATCAATAAATTAGATGATCATAATCGTGACAAAGCTACTTCTGGCCTGCATGAGTTATTGGTTGCCTAAATTTGCAAGCATATACTCAGAATATAACTTCACAGTATGAAGTTACAAAATGTTAATATACTGATAATATTATTCATACAGAATGTACCTCCCCATAACTGGCATAGCACCATTGTAGAAGAGAACTTCTCATGGTATCCTGGTCCTGCATTAATTTTTCCAGCTCCTGTTTTCTATCCTCTTGTGCTTCTGGAATATAGTCAAACTCACGAATCTGAAAAGTAAAATCACCTTAATTTGGTTACAGGACAAACAGAAAACAAGTTGCACTTTCTAGTTTCTGCTGAAAGGCTATCAAATTTATCATGCATGTTCCCATAACTGAGAAAACTATCCTTATCTTAAATGCAAATGAAAACAGGAGAGGAGCAAAACAATAGATTGTTGACCATAGAATCTTCAACCTTAATTTGCAACACCTAAGGCACCTACATTCCTACGCAAAATAGATGGCTGGTCATCCAATGTGCGGTAATCCTGATCAAATCATATAAGATGCCTCAGAGACCAATGATTTGCATGCTTCATGCTTACAAATTTATATGCTTGGGAACTTGACAACCTTTGTAGCAAGATAGGCTGCTGACAAGATCTATGGTACGAACAACTATGAGACCATTTGAAGCTCATTTCTTAAACTCATTTAAGATGCTTAGATATAAGTATTCAACTAACCATGGGTCTACAATTATATCTATCTTACATAGTGTGGCAGGAAAAAGACTTGCCTGAAAACCTTTTTCGCGTGCGCTTGTTTTAAAGTTGTCAGCAACCTTTATGAAGAGTGTTACAGTATAGAGAGCATATTCATTGTCCTCATGCAGCTTTTTGGAAGACCTAGGAACCTGGATTTACTTCGAAAGTTAGTCAGAAATTCAAACTTCATAGCGCTAAGAACAGATAACTAAACTCTTCCCCATTAGGAATTGTTGTGAAACAAGAAATCTGGAAGATAACAATATGCATACTTTAAACAAATGGTCAATATCCTAAGTATGGATACTTCAAACAAATGGATAAGATAAGAACAATGAGAATATGCACATCGTAGAGTCTCTTGCATCTTGCATCAGGTGTAAAGCTATTAATCGCATAACAACTCACCACGTATGTAGTCAAAGTTTCATAGCTTGACAACCAATCCTTCTGAGAGTACTTGGGAACAACTGCAAGGAGTGTCACTAAATGCTCAGAGGTAATAATATCCTCTGACTTCACTAAGTCAGAAAGGTCCCTAACAGCTAAGCTGCAAGACAGAAGAAAAACAAAATAAGAGAGAATATAATCCAGTTAGGCACTTATAAATTCTTGATTTCCTGTTGCATAAGGTTACCATCTTAAGGAAGAAGATTTGAAGAATTTTTTGTACCTTCCAGTTTGCTTTCTGTTTATTGCATTAAGTTGACCACGGACAGTGTTGTACTCTGCAGCTCGGACCTGCAAGATATATCCAACAAAAATTACAAGCATGAAAATAATGTTTAAATTTTGAATTGAAATGAATAGTAAATAAATCTTTAAATACAAAAGCATACAAAAATACATGCCAAATACTTTAGCAAAAAATAAAAGAAGATGATGCCACATAATTGCATTGCATTTGAGCATGAAAGTGCTTTGAGCATGAAAGTACTATGCAACATATTGTCAAAAGCTATTATGTACCACATTGGCTGTCACATAGGTACTGAAGAAGAGTTCACTGATTAGGCTGATCTAATCATGGTGTGGTCCAGAAAGCAGCTCACTCTGGACTTGTGCAATTTCAATAACCATAATCCCTCAAGATTGTCAAAACAAAACATATAGTTGGCTAGTTAATACATATATTTTCCAAAAGTTTAAAAGTAAAATTTGACAGTCTAGGTGTCAGTATGATTGACAGGCTGATGCTGCATCTATTCATACCACTTAAAGAGAAGAATTAGTGTTGTGGCCTTGTGGGAGAAGGATATTCAAAGGAGGATTTCATAAAAAAAGAATCTTCTCATGGCCGTTGCCCAAGAACGAGAGATAAAAGGAGTATACATGAGAAGGATAACACCTAAGCACTCAATGTGGCACCTCTACAATCTCTTAACTGAATACTTACTCAATATCACTAAATTGAGGATGAAACAGTGGAAAGCATATAAATGGAATTCAAGATTCAAAAGATACAATAATTTAGTCGAAGAAACAGGAGAGAAATTACAAACTCAGGAAACATAATGTCAATAATAAGACCAAACCACTAAGACCTAAAATATTTGCTCTGGAGCATCTGAAGGACTATTATCATAAAAAGCACAAGAATAGTAACAAATGTTGATAATCAGAATCCCCTCAAATTATGCATGTGCCTTCGACCAATTTAGATCTTTCGTATATCAAAAGTCTCTCTATGATAAAGGAAAAATCACCCATAAGCATCATTACAACCTCCTAACAAATAAAAACTATTGGAATACGATTTTAAGTTTAGAAGATAATTATGAACAAAAAGGGATACCGATTTCAAATTTATTGACCAATTACTAGGCGTAATATTTAAATTCACATGCATAACTACATCAATGTGATAATATGGAAGAAATCCCCTAATTCACAATTAAACAAGACATGTAGTTATCTATTGAGATAACCGGTCTATGTGCATGTTTACATTTTTTATGATATAATGAAAGCAATCCACTAATTTTACAAATGTAGCTATAATTAACCAATTAGCAAAATAGAGAACATTTAATACGATTTTAAAATAAACTAAACATCATTTAACACTTTCAGTTAGAAATTCAGACACCTTTATCAAAATTCTAAGTTGTTTTGATTTTACTACCTAGCATTGTCAAACTATGGTATGCCAGGTAAACGCAATATCGGTGAAGATTCTAATAATGCAGACTATGAAACAACAAACAAATAGAAGTTGGCTTATAAATTCAACAGACCTTCATGTCATCCTCAGTTTTGGCTATTTGGACATGAATTCCATCAACAATCTCCCGAAGCGGCGACATTGTCGGGTACTTCGCTTCGTCCCAGACAAATCTAAACCATTACATCTTCAAATGATCACAAACAAAGGGGAAATCAAATTTTCCATGCAGGGAAAATTGTAGAAAGCCTTGTAACGATAGGAAATCAACAGGCCGACTCAACTGTCAGAGCCCCGCCATCGACGCCCGAAGCCCTCTCCAGCTCCTCAATCTGCCGCCGGATCTTGTGCGAAACTCCCTCTATAAAAGCATTCGACTACCAGATCTCGCGAATCAACACCGAAACCACGAAAACCCAAAATTCAGTCAAGATATCACGCAATTACCTTGAGCAGATCATCACTGAGGGCAAGAAGGGAATCTAGGGTTCCGACGCGGAGATCGGGGATGTTGAACTGCAGAGAGGGGAGAAGAGGTCGTTAAAACCCTAGATCAGAATAAAAGCGCTGAAATTGAGAGGTTAGGGTTTGATTGGCTACTCGATAGAGAGGAGTATCGAAAGCTTGTTTGGAGACTGAGTCCTGAAGGCGACTCCAGAGGGAGGCGGCGGAGCTCTGGACGGGGAGGGAAACCATCCAGTACCTCGACGCCATTGGTAAATGGTGAAAGCTTGCTTTGATCTCTGATCGACAGAGGGAGCAGAACTGAGATTTTTTTTCCCTTTTTTTTTTTTTTTTTTTTTTTTTTTTTTTTGGGAAGGAGAGTAGGGGTCGAGCGAGAGCCAAGGGGATCGAATTCGCTCTTTACTTGATTATCAGTTAAGCTGATTAATTAATTAAAATTTGCTGACTAATTCATTAACTATAAAAGAAAAGTTTATATTTTGGGCTCCAGCCCAACTATTACTTGGGCCGGATGGATGGCCGGTCTTTTCATGAGTTTACTACAGTAGCATTGATTTTGTTAATGGGGTTGTATTGAGTTGGAAACTTAAAAAATAATAATAATAAAATAAATAAAAATAAAAATCGGTTGTGTAGGAGAGAAGTGTAGATCGACTTACCTTGCTATTACAGCTCGTTTTTTTTTTCAATGGGTCAATGAGGTGTTAAGGAAAGTCAGCCTCTTAACCTAATTAACAAACAAAGAAAAAATAATAATAAATAATGAATAAAATGAGTTAACTCTTCGGACAAATTTTCAAAACAATCTTGTTTACAATAATATTCGCAAAGAATGACTTATTTCTAACTTATTTTTAGAAACCGACCTGGTTTCAGCCTCAGCGCTGAAACCATGTCGGTTTCTGGAAAAAAAATTCTGAAATTTCACGGGAGTTGAACTCCCGTGAAGTTTAGTAAAGAGTTCAACTCAGTGAAGTTTCGGAAAAAAATTCAGTCAGTTTCTGAAAATAAGTTAAAAATAAGTCTTTTTTGGGATTAAAAGTCCAAAGATGACTGTTTTGAAATTTTATCCACTTCATAACTTGTCAATACAAAAAATGAAAGGATTAAGATAATCCTTTCATGAATTAACCATTGAAAGTGAAGGGTCTAAAAATACTCTTATTCAGATGGATTTAAAGATAGTCTTCTGTTTATAAATAAAATAATCTCAGCTATCATTATTTCTAAACACTAAAAAATGAACTCAATGATTGAACTAAATCTTACTTAACTAGTTAATAATTTAACTATTTAGATTAACAGATAGACTAACTATGTTAACCCTTCTCATCCCTTCTCCTTAACATTTACAAAATCGAGTTAAGAAAAGTTCCCCTTTGTAAACACGTGATGGGGGGGCCACCACATGAGCGAATGAGAAATCATCCCCTCGTTTCCGCGTGATTAGCAGGCCAGGCCCACCCGATCTTCACACTATAAATAATGGTGTGGTTTCCTAGGGCAAAGGGGTGCAAGGCAGGAGTTTTCTTCGTAGCCGCCAACGAAGAAAAAGCAAAGGACTTGGGCGTGCAAGGCTGGGAAAAGACAGGAGCAAAAGGAGCGGCTACAGTTCAACGCAGAGACTTGGCGGCGTGGATTTCGGCAGCGTGAAAGATTTTTCGACGTGCTGAAGGGAGATTCGGCAGAGGCTGAGTCGGCTGTTGTCTAGGGTTTTGTGTAGCCGTGTTTTTTAGGGTTTTGGCATCCCTTTTGAGAGAGATTTTGTGTGAGGGATCTGAGAGTTTGTGTGAGGGTTTAAATTGTGAGATTGTAAACCCAGTTGTATCTCTCCCTCTATTAGTAGATCTCCCCCTCCTTGCCCCGTGGACGTAGGCAGTTTGCCGAACCACGTAAAAGTTGTGTTCTTGTCGTGATTTGTAATAGCTTGTAGGTTCCCTCGACGCGCAGTCCTAGAGCTGACGAGAGGAAGAGCAGATATCTCACTTTGATGAGATATCTGGCTTTCGGTTCTTGTTTCTTTGAGAAACGAGAATTCCGTTGTGATCTAATCTCTTGTTGTGCACCTTGCGCACCGGAGGTGCTGCCGAAATTTCCGCTGCGCACAACACCCTTCAAGCTTCATAGATGACGATGAGAGAGTAAACTTGAAACCGCAGAGATAAAGGGATGCTTTTATAGTTTTATTAAATTTCATATTGCTCTCTCTACATGAGAAAAATATGTGCAAAAAGTTTTAAAACACATCTAATAATCGAAACTAATCAAATTACACTCAAATTTCTAAAAAGACAGATATTTATCATCAACAATCATCACCTTCTTCTGTCTCACGCAATCCTTACTATTATTACCATCTCGATGTCACATTTGATGCCTATAACGAACAGCAAGCACATTCAATATTTTCCAATATCTGTTGCCTTGCAGTCCCCTTTTTCCTCTGTTATTCAAAACGTAAAACTCGCAGAGAGAATGAAGAACTGAAGAACCAAAGAAATTTGACAACAACCTGACTCTTAAGAACATACGCATTTTTATTTACCGTCAAAAAAACATAGACAATGTCGATATCAAAACCAGAATTCTTAAGAGTCTTTCTTCAAAATAACAAAAACACAAAGCAAGTAAGCATGAAGTCTGTTAAGGGAGGTCATCAAGAGAGAGGTTTTGGATGAACCCCAACTTTGTTGTAGATTCAGCCGAAGCAGTTGAAGAGTTCCCAAACATTTCATCAGGAAAACTCAAGGGGAAATCTTCTGAGAATGCATAGTTCAGGCCAAATGCCATGTTCATACCATCAGTCCACGGTAGAAAGAGGTCAGAGTATCTTGCACTTGTAACAACGATATCGGGCACAATGGAATCAAAGATCTCATCTTCGATTGGGGGAGCCATTGCTGGCTCTTGAGCCCTTGCCTTCCTTGCACGAATAATCTGCAATAAAAAATGCATGTAAAAAGTGCTGGTCGTAAATATATAGTCCCAACACCCATTTTGAAGTTGATGAGTAGCGCTGATTTTATATAGCGGATCTCGTACATTGCAGTAAATGTGCCCCCAAAAGAATAGCAACCCTCGGATCATTAGACTTCACGATTTGTGCCCTGATCCAAATGTTAAATATATATTTATTGCACATTTAATGTCATGGACGCGGTTCTTTAGATATTTTCTAGATTTTTATTACTGTTTGCATTGATTGGGCGTTCTGTTTGAACTAATATTTTGTATTATTTGCATTGAAGTTAAATTGATGCTGGGACGTGCGTAGTTCCTCCTAGATGATTTTCTATAGAGAGCCTGTATACAACTTTTTCCTAATGTATATAATTTAAGTGACATTTGAAGTGGAGCAATACGTATCGATCCCCTTCATCATCTTTGTACAGCATGATGAAATCACCAACTTGAAGATTGTGGGTCTTGACAAAATCACCTGAGGTAAAAAGTTCATTGTTTGTTGATAGCAGATAAAGGGTAATAAAGTGTTGTTAGAGGTTTCAAGCATATGCAAGCTTACCAGTACTCTCTAGTATGTACATTCTGCTCTTATTATTAGGCCAGTATCTGCAGACCAAAGATTTACATAAATGAGATCATATATTCGGACAGTGTGATCTTATGTATAATATATGGGACTAAAAAATCAATTAGACTGTGTGCCTTGCATGCAATGCACTTAGAGTTAACTCAGAATTGTAATATCAGATATATTCATGCCAAAGTATGGTGCATCTACATTAGTATATGGACCAATTGTTTATGTATTTTGATTTGGTGATAGGATTGCTAGGCGGTACTTTTTAATAGACTGAAGATGTCACAATAAAGTTACACTGGCACTAGATTATCCGAAATTTGTCTTCTTTCTACGTCATAAACGCAGCTGGCTAAGAAATTATTAAGAAAAATCAGAGAAGAAGAAAGATATTGCTCGAACCTGTATTTGAAGGTCCATAGTTGGGAGGTCTCCATATCAAACATGGGCAATGAGAAACTCTCCCGAACGTTAAGGACAGGAAGATGGGCTTCCGCCTCTCTCTGAAACACAATATTTCCTTAAAAGTCCTTTAAATCATACTCATAAAATGAAATTGAAAAAATGAAATTAAAAAGTATGTGAAATAACATAAATTGATATTTTCGTATATTCTAAGTACAATAAAATATAGCAGGAAAGCTAACCTTTGGAAGGACAATTCTTCCAAGAGAACCAACATCGCTATTCTTTAGCTCCTTTTGCAGCAGAAATCTCACACTTTCACCAAGATGCTACAAAAAAGATTTATAAAAGGAATTCAAATATTTGACTTGGAGAAAAGAAGACAAAAAAAAGCACTTAAACCATACATCAGGATCAAGGGCTTTAGAATTCAGGTCCAGGATGGTTTCCTGAAAGCAGAAGAAAACTGTGTCAGATAATAAAGTAGTTTTACAAAAAAATGTAATAGATTAACAACTTGGTTCAATCTTAATTGATAAAGTCAGTAACAACGGGAACCAAAAAAATAAAAAATAATAAGAATTATTTTCATCAATTAAGAAAAGCAATGCCAGTCCATAATATAGACTAATCAAGATCAACTAATGAATCATGACCCGAAATTATACATGAAGAGAAAATCCTTTGGGCAAAGCAACAAAAGTAGCTACTAAATGCCTAGAACCACATCAAGTATGTCCAGTTGTCCACGTGGTTAAAACGACAAAAAGTTGACCCTTTGACAATAGTCCTGCATTTCGAGCCAATTTGTTTTAGCCTAATTTGTCGTTGTGAGCTTCTTAGGAGGCGAAGAAAATTATTCGATTTTTTTTGTGAGTTTAAACCTGGTTTTTTCCAATAATATAATTCCATTTAATTAGTCAAATATGAATTCATGATCACAACCATGATAATAATCACTCGTTCGAGAAGTAATCAAGGCTATTAGACTACACTCTGAATTGGCCAATCAGATCATAATACTTGCAATTTCATGGCCCTAAATTATATCTAACTGACCGTTAATCCTTTAGATGTAAAACGAGAAAATTAGATGTAGAGGCACATTTATGCATCAAGTTTCTATGAGTTCTAATGAGAAAGAGAGCAGTGTCGACCCAAATAATTGGTCCTGATAGTCGAGCCCTTGTCGCTACATACCAGCTTTACATGGAAAACAAGAAAACGACATGTTATTGATTAAACGCTGAGATTGATCAGAGTGGACTTTGAAGAAAACTTCTAATAACAACTAGGTCTTCAATTCAGGAATTAATGGATTGTATATGAACATAAAGGATTTTTCTGTTTTATATTGGGAGTGCCAATCTACTGTACGTGCTAACATTATTGTCGATCTCTGTTCTTCGCAATGCTGAGAATTATAGTTGACATAACACAATGATAACCACAATCAAATAAGAATAACATCGAATGATATTGATTTCTATAACCATCCAACAATTAATCCTATGAAGATACAAAAAAAAATCAAACGATATAGCCAACCATATACCAAATTATCAACAAGCCCAATTTGCCTAACATTAACAACATCTCATAGGAATTTTCTATCTCATAATATTTGGAGCGCGTCGAACCTACTATATGTATGATAGCACTGTTGATCATCTCTAGAGCTATAGTTAATACAAAACAATCGTAATCACAACCAAAATAGAGCCTTGAACAAAATTCCACTTATCAATCAAAATTTCGTACTAAGTATCAAAATTCGTAAGACCTAACCGAGCACATACAAATTATCAACAAACCCAATTCGGCCAAACCATCGACAACATACCTCATCAAGCAACATATTAACAAACCATAATCAAGAACATTGGTGACAAATGAGCGATGCTTACACGTGTGGGCTGTAGATGGTGAAGCCCGCTGGTCACGTGCTGCCGGCGCTGCCTCATGCCGGTCCTTTTCCGGCGGAGAGCACTGCTGCCAAAGCTGGCCTCAACACTGAGATCAGGAACTGACAATGGATTGCTGCACTTTTGAGCCATTGGAAGAAGGAAAAAAGAAAGTAATCAAGTTAATGAGCAAGTGAACAGAGGTCTGGTATATATATTGCCAAATTTGGTAAGTTGGAGGAGAGAGAATGAGGTGTAGAGAGAGAAAGAGAGGGAGAGAGAGGGGAAGAAAAGGCCATGGAGATTAATTTAGATGGGTGCACTGTATAATTAATGTGAAGAGGATCGGAGATTGAGAGGAGAGATTAGGGAGTGGTAGTTTTGAGAGAGCTGGATTTTTGCGAGGGGAGAGCTCCAGGTGTTGCAAAGGCTCTGATTTCCCTGCACCAGGAATCAATGGGGGGTTTTCTTTTATTTAAGCTTCACTCAGTGAGTGTTTAGTGTGAGAGGGAACAAGTTTTCTCTACACAGATCTGATTATTTTAAGAAAGTATCAAGTGGACTTGATCCATCAAATATGTGGCTTACTAGAAGAACAGATTTTATCAGAATATACGCGTATAACAATATGATACATTACTGTTACGAGTGTATAAAGGGATGGCTTGGGAATAATAACTATTTTGCTCAAGACGTAAATCATCTCACACGAATAGTTCTAGTGAAATTTGTATTTGTGAGAAGTGCGATTGATCCCCATGTGCATCTATTGAATTCTTATTCCTTTATTTGGATTCTCTATTGCTAAAGATATATAAAAATTGCATAAAAATGGTTACCGCTAATAATAGCGGTTTCCCCTTCAATAAATGTTATGGAAATTTACCATCCAAAGATAGGGATGTCGGAAGAATGTCTCCATAAGTCCAAGAGAGCTATGGCCCAAACCAACTTAGAGGCTCAAAAGCCCAGTCAAGGTCAAGTCTCTCAACCAGACGAACAGACAAGTCATATTTCGATCAAGGGTCATCATGACCGACTCGAAGTGTGCCCCCTCGCAATTAAGACGACTCCTTGAGTAGACGACTCGACCATACACCCGACCCAAAGCTCACTCGACTATCGGGTCGCCAGATCATAATAATGGCTCGCAGATCAACCCGCTTCGACTAAAGGGATAAGAGCCGACCAAGTTCACTTCAGATGTCAATCGACACAACAGTATTGATTAGTCCCATCAAGATCTCCATTCTAACAAACCTCGTGCCCAAGCCGCTTACCGCCACCTGGAGAGAGAGAGAGAGAGAGAGAGAGAGAGAGGGACGGCCAAGCAGCCGACCTACCCTACGCCCTACCTCTTCTATCAAAGCCAGGATACTGAGAAGCCATTTCTCTCTTGTACTTGAATGACCTCCCTTCCAGTCACCAGCCGACATCTCGAATGAGAAGGATGACTCAGCAGCTCGACGGATCACCCCTCAGCCGCCTCCTATGCATAGTCGAAGACAAGGATCAACCTCTCAGAGGCAATGGACTATAAAAGGAGGGATGGAAGGTAAAGAGAGGGGTAAGTGATAATTGCTTGGCTACATCTTCTTCATAAAAACAAGGAACCTACATTGGTTAAAAAAGGAAGAGAACTAGAAAACTCTCAAAAGAGTACGCTCCAACGACCTCAATGGTCCAAGGACCTTCCCCCAAACCCCACTCAAGCTCCACAGCTGACTTGACCGTCGGAGGTACCACGGGGAAACTAGCCCCGTACTCCTGCGATTCTTACATGTGTAGGTTATCAGCCCACCCCGCGCGCTCAGAATCGGGTGTAAAGTCGGAGGAGGAGTCGGCCACAACATTCATCCTCTCCCTTCTCCTCGGCGTCGTCAGGATCGAAACTACCTCCTACGGCAGACAACCCCCATCGATTGTTTGTTCACGAACATCAACAATAAACAATTATGATTTTTTAGTGAAAATGGGGGATATTCTTGGATAAATTTAATAAGTATTAGATCTAAAATGAAATACAATTAGTATTGATAATAGAATATTGTAATAAAAATAATAATTGATTCATTATATTTTTTGTGATGAAGAAGTTGAAATCAGTTATGCTCCAATCTGAGATTGAGTGAGAGATCGAGGATAAAAACTTTCTAGTATTTCTTACTATAGGATCATGCGTCGAAAATTTTGATTGTTTGTGGACAAATGAATTGATCTAAACATTTTATTTTTCTTGATACACCAATTATCCGGTAGACAGATATTAATAAAGTAACTTTTCAAAAAAAGTAAATATAGTCCGGTGTATTTTATTAATATTGCATTAGAGATCAGCTATTGGATCAAGATATGAATCATAAACGTCCACTAATTCAATATAGAGATTTATTTGAAGTGAAATTAACACAAATGCCTTAGAAATGCCGAGATAAATGAAAAGATGAACTGGGCTCCGACCATCCAATCAACCCTTAGAGCATCTCCAAGGGGCCGGAAAAATCCGGCCCCTTAGCTAGATTAAGGGAGAATGAAGGGGAAGGTGCTCCAAGGGGCCGGAAAACTTTCCCCTTCACCCCAAACCCCTTAACTCCCTCCCCAAATTAAGGGGAAGGTTAAAGTCCCTTAACCTTCCCCTTATAATTTTATATTAATATTTTCTTTTTAAATAAAGTTAATGTATAGTTAATTAAATTTAGTTAATATATAGTTAATGTATAATTAATACTTTTAACATGATTTATATAAATTAATTATTATATAAATTAATTATTTATTAAATTTTAATATGATTAATTAATTTAATAATTATATAAGATAATTTCTTACTTTAAATTAATTATTTATTTAATTTTAGTTATTAATATTTAATTATTTATTCATTTATAAATAAACCATATATTTAATTAAATCTTAATCTATAAAATTAAAACACTAAATATGAATAATTAAGGGGTAAGAGGACTTTTAAGGGGGAACCATTGGAGGAGAACTTCCCCCTCCCTTAAAACTCCCCCTAGATTAAGGGACATTGTAAGGATCCCTTGGAGATGCTCTTAGACCCCGTTGCGCCAATCTACGGTGCGTGGCGTCACAGGATCAGCTGCAAAACACACAGCCTCTTAGTTTATCTAGTTTCAGCCTGAAACTTACACGTGTCAGGTTGCGACTCGATATTTTTAGCGTTTTGTGTGCAACGCTAGGCTCAGGGTTTTTTTTTTTTTTTTTGCCCCCGGAACGTTCTTGTTGGTTGCCCGTTTACAGGGAAAGTGCCATAATTAGTAAGTAAGAGGTCCGGCACTCGGAATGGGGATCCGAAATCAGACCATACCAGTATCTAAAGTTGGGAAAAGATTTGGTACTCAAGTACTACTATTGCTCATGTTTTCTGAGTGGCATATTATGGTAATTTAAGTTGAACGGATGGGGGCTGGTTTTCTCGATCTGACAGCATCTCCAACGTTACTTCAAAAACTCATTTTGACGTCAAAAAACATCAAAACTATCTCCAAAGTAGCGTCAAAACCTGCACTATTTTGGGGTGTTGCTACAGTGTTCGTCAGGAATGGCGCAACACTGTAGATATGAAGTTTTTTCTTTTTCCGAGTTTGCCCTTAAAATTGGTTATAACAAATCAAATATTCCAACAATATCTCATTTCTCCATCATATTTCCTATTTGGTGTAAAATTTGGTATAATAGGTTAGAGATGGAATAGTGGTTTTGTGTAAAAACTACACCATTTTCGTATTCATCTATACACATACAAGTAACTATTTTATTTTGGTAGTCCATTTAAATGCTCTAGAAATTCAAGATGGTTTTCAAGAAATTATTCAAAAATTCTATGTTTAACTTGCAACAATACTACTTCTCAAATGAGAAACCAAACGACACAGAAGTGTGCTCAATAAAATCAAAATGGAGAAACGTGCAACGTATCATCACCGTGATTGATATTTTCCATTTGTGAAAATTAGAAGTCGTCAGTTTCACACATCTCCACAACAAAGCAAGCGTGAAGTCCAGCTCAGAATTCAGGCGAACGCTTACACTTGTTGAGCCTCGACTACATGCATTGGCCATCGCCTCTGCTCGTCCAAACACAGCTCCCACATTTGGCCACCATGCACGTCCCTCTCTCTCTCTCTCTTATTTCTCTCTCCTCACTCACTCTCTTTCTCTCTCTTTACTGTAAAGTGTGATTTGGATTGGGTACTCGCAATCCAAGGCAAAGAGAAAGGATTTTGCCTTTTGTCTTCATTTTGATTTTGTTTGATCCCACCAACCCGTTAGTTCAACCAATAGAGGGATCTCTCTCACTGACTCCTCATTACTAAGCAATCAAGCTCATCTGAAGACAATGCACATCCACTTTCAAGATTCATCATTACTAAAATTAGCTAAAGGATCAGCTCTTGCGGTATTATATCATGATGTATAAACACATTAGAAGCCTAAAATTGAGAAGTCCATCAATGTTAGAAAATTTACGTCGAAACCCATATATATATATAAGACAGCAGAAATGCGGTATAGAGAAAAGTATACCAAGATTTAACGAGGTTCGGCAACTGCCTACGTCCTCGGGAGCCACACAATTAATTTCTTATTAATCAACAAGAAATTACAATGCAAGAGCAGATCTCAAACTTGAGATCCCTCAATAAATACAATAATTATTACTGTAGCTACAGTGAACAATACCCTATTTAATTCTCTCTTCTATTTAATACCCCTCTTAATTCCCCCAAATCTTCTCTGAATGAGCGTTGGGAAAAGAGAGGGAGAGAAAACTGCAGCTGCCGCCTAGGGTTTACGAGAAAGGAGAAGAAGCGCGTGCAGCGCAGCCTTGGCCCTGGGGTTTCTCTTTTATAGGGAAACCCTAGCTGAGCTGTCGACAGGCTGTTGACAGCCTGGAAAGCTCGCCAGCAGCGATTCTCGCCTGCATCGACCTCGCCTACGAGCGCGTGCACTCGAGCTCGCCTGACGAAATCTCGCCTGCCTCGAACTCGCCTTGAGCGACCTCGCCTGACAGAAGCTCGCCCGCACTCGCCTTCGAGTTCGTCATCGACTTCGCCTGCAAATCCCCAAACTCGAGCTTGCATGTCTCTCGTCGAGCTTGCTTGCACCGCGCCTTCGACCTCGCCTGAGTCGCCGCACACACTCGCCTGTGTGGTTCTCAAGCTCGCCGGAGCTCCTCGCCTGCACAAGGTTTGGACTTCACACCCCCAATTCTAACAATCTCCCACTTGGAGACAAAACCGTTGTCAGTAGGCTATCTAAACAATCACATTCTCCTGTATGGCTCCACCCTCATCATCTATGCATGAAGGCCAACTGAAGTTACGCACAACTCCAGTTTATGAATGGTCACTGTCTTTATTAACATATCTGCTGGATTCTTATTTCCTTGAATCTTCTCTAGT